CCGCACGGGAGAATCGTCTTTAAAACAGGTTACGAGCAAGTTCTAGTTTTAACGCCCCGTCGCCTTAGCGGATGATTGTTTCGTCTACTATGGAAGGCTATCGTGCGGCCTTCCACGTTTTTCTTTTTTCAAAAATCGGCTTTTTTAAGCGGCACCACACATTTTAATTTTAAATGATAGCATAACAGTAACCTTGCAAAGTCAAATTTGAAAAAAATTTATGCAACGCCACCATTTTGATAGTGAATAGTTAAAACGGCCTCGACAGGCAAAATCAAAAAATGAATTAACGTTATCAATATCAATATCTCTGAATAGTGATAATTTTATTTGAAAAGTAGTTCTGTCATTTTCCGTCCATAAACTGATTGAACAGTTGGAACTACGTCTTTGTAAACGGAAAACGGTTCTAAAGTTATAGTCGAAGGAAAAAATAAGAAACATGCTACACGTCGATACTTAAAATTGACGCATTAAGTAGCGATAGATGATTTAGACCCGCCCAAGTTTCCCTATTATACGCAGGTAAAGTAAAGTACACTGCCCAATGATTGACTGATGGATTTTGCTCTTTTCAGCCATCAACGTTTTATGGAAAGTCTCAGGCTATATTTATAAACCTGCTTGCTTGTCTCAGTTGACTTGTGATAGGTCTTTCGCTGAGATATATTTTGTAATTAACTTGGGCAAACACAATTAAATTAAAACAAAAAATGTTAAGATTTTCACAGTTTTTTATTGGTTTATGACAGCTCTTTCGGCAACATCGTACCTCTATTTTGCATTTGACTCACGAGTTTATTTGACACGAGCGGAGCGAGTGTTTAATAAACCAGTGGGTTAAAAAGTTTACCGAACGTGTCGCATACTATACTTTTTCTACGGCCGTTAGTTTTGACAGAATTGACAAAATTCAAGCCTCGCGGTAAAATCTCCGAAAACATCCGATTGCTTAAAAACAAGAAATTGACGTGGGACGCTTCCCCCACGCTAGATCGGTGTATAAGTACGTATTTTACAGAAGGGAGTGGAAAAAATGGATTTTCATCAAGTAAAAGCCTCCTCAGTCCAAAACTCAGGGAAAGATTACAAATTAAACATACTTTATCTGATTCTCTAGGTTTTTTGGGTAAATGGAATAGAATATGAACTTATATTTGAAAGATGGATGAGTTAAAATAAATTATTTTGTTTTAATGTATTAAACGGTACCTGACAGGAAAAGCGTTTTTCGAATGGTTCATTTTTACATTTTATAACTGCGATTTTGTTTCATAATGTATTGAAAACCATTCTTCCCTTGAAAAATCACTTTAAGGGAAATGTGCTTTGAGTCGACTGAAAGATATTATTTTGGGAGCTAAATCCAAAATATTTTTACCCATTGGAATATCAAAGTTGCTTGCCCATAAAAATAACGTTACTTTTTTCGCACGCCTATCCCTAATTATACGTAGTCTAAGTGTATTGTTGTTTGCCTGTCGAGCGAAAACAAAACCGCGTCGGTTGTACAGGCTGGCCCGCGCCCGCGCGCCTAACCCAACCGCCTGTAGCTACGCTACTGAATCGACGTCCACTGGATTAAGAATCACCACAACCATACGCCCATTGATTGAAGCGATGGGAAAGCGGTCGTGTCGCTGGACGTTGAACATCGACGGTCGACCGGCGCATATGTATATGTGTGTAAGTATGCTCCCCACTGGACATCGGAGTCAATAAACCCGCTGCACCTGCTGGCCTCGGGTCACTTATCTACTCGTAGCTGGAGCCTGCAGCATCTTCGAACGGGCGCCGACAGTTTGCACGAAGGTTCCGCGGCAGTTAGAAGAGAGGATAGCGAATAATAGCTCCCAATATATTCGATGTAAATTATGTCTTATTATTGTAACTGTGATAATTGCGTTCTTCTTCTGTTGATGCCATTACAAAAAACGGAAAACCATAATAATCAAAACTAACGAAAATTCTTTGACAATGCATTAAAAGAAGCTTTATATACTACGTCTATCTAAAACTAAATTACGGGTCACGATAACGTCCGGATACTAAATTTCGTACCACTCGAGCAAAAATATATCCACTAATTGATATTAAACCTAATCGTTAATCGTTGCGAACAGGTGCGAAAAAAAAAAAGATGACCCTAAAACAAAAGACAAAATATAAAAAGAATTAGGGTGCATGAATGTGGATTGGAAGAAAAAATGGAAACATTAACGAAGACCTTTGCAGCTATTAATCAACTGCTATTCAGAAATACAAAATAAAATAAAAATCTTTAAAAGAGAAAATAACTTAAATGCTACCAAAAATGGTAAGATATTTTTCTATCTAAACTACTTATTTATGTATTTACTGTGTAAATTAATAAAAACTTTAAGTAATTAAAATGGCTATAAAACTTAACGGTGTATATATAAATATAAGAAACTTCAGAAATAGACCATCTAATAGAAATAAAAAAGAAATACACAGAATTGCTCTCACAGAAACCTGGATCTACCAAAATGAGATACCATATTTTAATCTGCCATTATAATGCTGTGCATTAATGTAGATGCTCCAGGAGTGACGAGGTGTGTCTATTTGTTAAAGAAAACTTAGAACATGAACAAACCCGAAATGGAAGCAAATGACTGTAATGTAGTAAGCATATACGTTGTTCAAGTTAACTGTACAATCATTATCTATAGGCCACCTAAAAACCAACCGTATCTTTTATACAAGATATTGATATAATTATCGAAGCCCAAAGATCACAATGCAATGCAACGGCTTTGAAATACAGAATAAAATAAGTCCGGAGAATGCCACATGAAAAACACATCTTAACAAATAAAAGAACTGTAATATTAGTCTTACAGATCATGTTATATCTGACCACAAAATATATCCGTTGAATTAAACAAAGATGTCATCAAAAAAAAACTAAAGAATACATAATAAAAGAAAACTACAGACAAACTTAAAAAATTGCACAACAAACTCAAAAAGTAACAACATTTAGTAAACAGAAATAATAACAACATCAAAAACTAATTGCACAGGTGAACGTAAGATAAAAATACACAACAACTGGATAAATTCTAAACATATAGAAAAACTAGAGAAAAACGTTCAAACTGAATGAGACTTAAGGACAAAACTATAAAAAGATATGGTAGAAAAAAACTCAATGAAGCTGGGACAAACTCAAAACAAAAATATTGGACGTTTTAAACGGGTTGTGCATGAAAACATCAAAAAAGGCAAAAATGAGAGAAATAACAGGCATGACAGGAGAGACTATAAAGATGAACAAAAATTAGAGAAGAGTTCAACACATTGTGAACATTGTTAACAGTATCCTAGAAACTGGCCTGTTTCCTGAAAATATAAAAAAGACTCACCAAAGGACCTTAGTAATTATAAGCCAATTTCTGTATTAAATACATTATCAAAAATCATTAAAAAAAGTATAGTCAAACTTATAGAAAACCAATACAAGTTTGACCCATATGGCTTACAAAAAAAAAACAGTAGTACCTTAACAGTCTCAGCGGACGTACTAGAGCATATATCGGGAGAACTTAACAAAAATAAGTACGTGTTAACAATATTCATCGATTTGCAAAAAGTATTCGACACAGTCGACATTGATATAATGCTTCATAAATTACAAAAAATGGGCTTCGGAGATGTTGCACGAAAACTTCCACAAACATAATCCAAAGACCGCACTCAATTTTTTGAGTTGTCCAATTGAAAAAAAGTGGATGCGTATAGTACAAGCTTGAATATTTTTTCGCTGACATCCTTTCAAATTTTGTGCGGAATGCTAAACAAAATTGAACACACACACTAATAAAGTGCAGCGCAGCGAAAGTGAAACTATTTTTAGCATATGGCTTCTTTATACTTCATTTAAGGCACGTTAAATGATTACTTATATTAATACCAATTTTATAGGAATTTCCCTTCTGTGAATCTAATATTTCAACTGTTTATACAATCTTTTCTATTGGTAAATATGAAGATGTATTTTAAAAGACCTATAGACTTATATAGTAATACAATGAATGAGAAAAAATGGAATTTGAAGCACCAAATTTAAATTGAATGTCTGATTTTCTTGCTGTTACTTTTGTAACGTATATAATATTTCGTTTTTGGGGTTCCTGCTGACTTAACTTGGAACCCCTTTTCAGTCTGTTGGCCGCGGCGAGACCGAAAAACCCAACCGCCGCACAAAACAACAGCGTAGCAGGAAATAATAGCCGCGGATCCTGTGACGGCGGCGCATTTCCCGCGGGAAAGCGATAGCCGCGTTGTTGTTCAATTGGACAATGGTGGGTTAAACGGGACCGCCCTGAACCGCGCCGGATTGGGACGCTTTCAGACAATAACAACTGAAAATGCATTGTCTGACAGGGCGCAAGCCCGGCAGGAACAATAGAGTTCGCAGACAACGGCGGGCGGAGTCTCCTGCTAACGGTATTGTTCATTTGTCGAGAGTGCTTGGGCGTTGCGTCGCATACAAAGTGTCTCGCGACCAATAAACTATACTAAGTGCTCGCAAATGTTATTCCTGCGGTTTTGCAGGCGCGTTATTTTAAATAGAGTGGGGCGGGAGCGCCTCCACCCACAGTCGAAACAAACGAAGTCAGAATAGTTTTAAGAAAGCGGAAAATAATGGCAATTGATGATTAAATAAAATAAATTGGTTAATTTAATCCTCTAATGCCAGACTTAAATGATATTTTCTAAAGCAATTTGTTACGTTCCCCAAACCTGCCACCAATGAATGTGGTTGTGCGATAGCCAAGCTTTAATTGATAATTTTTTGTTACCGTAACATAAATTTCAAAAAAAAGTGACTATCCTCTGTGTTAAAAGAAATGATGGGTTTGTATAAAAGAGCAGTACTTGTAAACTGCATCAACTTAGAACAAGACAGATATCTTAAAGATATTGATAGAAATAAAACAAACTCCAAAGAAATGTGGAAGAATTTAAAAACTCATGAATTTTATAGATAGCGTTAAAAATATGTTAAGTGACATTCCGGAGTCCCCAGGCTGTAAATGATATCACTGATAATATTTCAACTTATGGAGAAATAAATCGGTTGAATCCCATAACTATGCAAGACCTGAAAAAAATAATTAAACAATTAAAAATTGTGACCGGTGATGAGCGTAATACCTCAAAGACTGCCTGCCAGTGGAATTTTTCGGGAAGCATGGAAGACATGATGATCCCTCTACAGAAAGTTCCCACCACCAATCACAGCAGCTGCAAAGTTATTGTGACGTAACCAATACTTCAGTTCCTAACCTATCGGGCTTTAGCTCCAAACATTCATGTGAATGTGTCGTTGCTACTGTCTGTAGAACTAGAATGTTAAGAAAATTGTATGAAATGGGTATTAAGAGAACAGAGGTGGTTTTCATTTGATGAAAATCCATTTATCAAAATAAATAAGAACTAAAAGTTCAGGTTTTCACGAAATTATATATTTTTACAAGACAATTGTTTCGACAATACCGTAAAAATCTGAACTTTTAGTTGTTATTTATTTTTATTAACAGATTATAAATGGCTTTGTTCGTATTCAATAGATAGGGTATAAAAAACGAAATATAAAGATTGTATTTCCATAACCGTGGAACATCGTGTCCTTCAGGATACTATTTTGGGACATTTGTTGTTTCTTATATATATAAGCGATATTGTAAATTTTCTATTTTTGGTAAATGACATAATTGAATGAATTAAATTTTGATATAGACCACAAAAAATTTTACGTAAAGTTATATTTCGCTCAAAATTGCCGATTATATAATGAATAAATTTTCTAAAAATATTCATTCTATATCTAGAATATCGAAAAATTTGTCATTAAATACCAAAGTTTTATTGCATAACAGCCTAGCTGCTCCCCATTAAGAATGGTGTTCTATAATTTACTATAAATATACTATATATACAATGTAACAGATATACGTCAACTCAAAGCATGTTGAGTGTACTTAATTTCTTGTCTGTAAAACAAAAAGTAATATTTAATGTATATGTATTTATTTTTACAATTAAACAGCAGTGTGTTCCTGCGTATGTTTGTGAACAAGTTACCTATTTCGGAGATATTGATTCTTACTATACAAGGAATTGTGGTAATTTTGTGCTAAACCATTTTAACAATTGACCACATAATATTAACAAGGGTGATACTACTAATAAATTTAAAAGACTTTTAAGATGTTATGTATTGTCCAATTTTGATTTGTGTAGTTAGCTCTTACTTTATTTTTAAGATTTATAATTAGTTTATATTTAAGATTTCTATTTTGCATTTATGTACCATAACTCTAAGTAATTAATTTATTATTATTATTATTATTATTATTATTATTATTATTATTATTATTATTATTATTATTATTGTACACTGCAAAGCAGACAGTAAGACGCAACCCTGCTTGGGTTGGTTAATCATTTTTTTTATTTATTTTGGCACATGAAAAATTTTTCTGCGAATCTAGTGTTTCAAGAAATTTTCTCTAAGGCGAATAAAATATAAAAAAGTAACGGTAATTTGGTTAATAAACATGGACCCGAAACTTTCCGTCAGAAAAAAAAGCATTTTTAACCTTAGGGTATCATTAATTTAAATGAAATTCAGTAATAAGAAAAAAGTAATAAAACTTACGGTTGATAATATTTAAGTAGAAAATAATTTACAAAATTTTGCATGCATGCAGTTAAATTAATTCAAATAATTTATTCATCCATCAGTCAGTCAGAGTCAGTTTTTTTATGGCAAATTGTTTACAAAATATTATTTCCCTCAAAAAAAATAAAAATATCCTTATCCAGAAAAGTTTGGAGCCAAGAACTCTATAGCGTAGCGCCTGTAACTCCAAACTAACGTTATAAATACACTGTCTAAATGGATTTTGAAACAAATTATCGCTAACACTGTCTCTGCTTTTTTTGTTAACTTGATTGTTTTTTCGGCAGAATCGACATTTTTCAATAAAACGAAATTTTAATCTCCAGTTTGATAATTTTAAATTAATAGCCCGAAATAACTACGGAAATCAATCAATGAAATGAATTGAAATTACTCTCTGCACTAGCGGAGAATGGAAACTACTTTCTGCACTATTCACTATAGTATTTTTTGTACTAGCGCAAAAAATACAGTTTTTTCTAAGGAACCGATTAATTGCACACAATCGTAGAGAATTTGCTGAAGGACACTTTGGTTAAAAATTTGGTTTGGGGCGAATACTCTACGATACTTTTTCTAAGACCATTAGTTTTTGAGTTATATTTTTGCAAAGCAGTTCTTACATTACAAACGTCAAAATGCAACCGGTGGCTAAAATGTTTTTTTAAGTATATTTCAGGAATTATTAATTGTTTTAATTAAAATAAAATAATTAATTGCATTTTAATTTAACTTAATTTATTAATGTAATTTATATTTTGTGTTTTGCAAAACGATTTCGTGCGGGGCAATTTATTATAGCTAAAAATGAGCGCTAAAACGGCAGTTGCGTGTTACAGCGTATTAAACACTACGCGAACTATATAAGAAAATAAAATAATAATTACCGCCGTTACCCCCCGCGGGTCTAGTCCGTCGTAAATCCATTATATAAAAGACATCGCGGGTTAATTATTATTGTATCGACGATTGAGAAACGCAGAAGCGACACGTAGCTACGTGTGGTGATAAAAATATTGATAACAGTGTTAAACGTAAAAGCAGACCAGTGTTACTGAAGAACGATTGGGTCGGCGGTCGTATATTATATTATCTCCTTAATAAAGTTAAAAATAAATTGAGATTGTGGCGCTGTCAACCACAAAACGATTTTGACTGGTTTTCTAACCTTTGTTGACATCCAAGGACGGTAAACCCTAGATGATAGTTCCATAGACGATTTATCTCCGCCAGTCTTGCGCGAGTGGGACGTCATCTGTCCCCCTCCGAACAAGTTTCATACGTCGTTGTTTACTGCGGTTGAGACCTCTAACACAGAAACACAAATAAAAAGTAACTAATATACCTTACGCCCAGTTAAAAAGGGCATTCGGCCATATCTCGAAAAGCGAAATTGTTGTAAAGACTTTTAAGGTTGTGTTAAGCTCAACACTTACTCGTAAAAGAGTTTTTGCCCTACCTCTTAAGGGAACTTAGAATCGTTGAAAAGGGCTCTTCTTAGGCGACCGACGTTTTCCTGAGTGGATTGATTCCGATTACTTATATCACCGCTAGAGGACGTTGTGCAACCTCGCCTAAATTGGGATTTAAAATTAAAAAATGCGATTACGCCCACTAGCGGTCATTCCAGAAACTTAAAAATAATATCCAGAATTTTCTCCGCTGCAGCTTTAGATATAAGTTTTTTCACCCCAAGTTTTTACGGCAATTACTGTCCTTAATTGACCACCCGGTACAAGGAATATTAGTAATTATTTATTTATAAATAATTCTAATCCTCGACTCTATCTAAATCCACTCTTTATATAATTTGTATTTAATTCGCGGCTTATAGTTAAATCAAACTAGGAAATAAATTGTTAAATCTATCATTACTGCTCTCCGAAACTTTTGTCAGCTATGTGTATTGTCCACAAAATGGTGGCAGCGCCTTATTAATGCATTATCGCGTTAAGGAAGTTAAACATTTGGTTTTAAATATACAACACACTGTACTATATTCACCTCAAAATATATTACATATTCCTTTTTAAGATATCTGAGTGAAGTTATGTATTAGAAACCATATGTTCATATAATTAGGATTGAACTGTCTTAAGCTCAGTGTCCGAGTAAATGATGGAAACCCCTTTCATTTTTTGTAATCTTGTATATAACACAGTGAAATTTGCAATGCACGTATATAATTAAATTAACATAAAAAATATATAAATAAAGTAAATATAAATTAAAATAAAAAAGAAAAGTTTAGGCGCCACCAATCTGTTGTAAACATTCGATTTTGGCGTCCAGCCTGCTGCTGACCCAATGGTGTCAACATCCATGCTCCGCGAGCAGCTGCGCTGTCATAGCATGTTGTGTTGAATGAATTTTAAATTTGTTAATGCCAATGTCACACTCCTTAAGCACAGTCTTTACCCATCGGTCGATTGTTTGGGATGATTTAGAATGAACTGTTTTTTTTTGTAAGTTAAACGCAATCGTTTGTTATATTATAAACGGCTCTCGGTGAAAAAAGCAAGAAAAACATGAAAAAAGGTATGTTAAAAGCAAGATTCTTCTGTGCAATAATTTTTTTTACACATGTGTTGGTTGCAAAGAGGGTAAAAGAAACAATCTCTCCATGATATTGAGAATGTATCCAGTACGTAATAGTCTGGATCGTTATGCCACGACACATACTTTAAGCATTCAGGTTAGTTTAGAAGCAAAATTCTGTTGAAAGCAACCGAACTCAATTCAAATTCAGCTTTAATGTCTGTGAAGCCAGAATTCTTATCAGCTTCATCATTATCACGTGTATTAATGTGAACAGCCAACATAACTATATTACGGTTCTACAGCCCTTTCCAAAGAGACAGAGAAAGAGATAATTACACATTTCAAGCAAAATATTACGTATTTTCTATAACCCTTCATCGTCAAACAGACGTTTGGGTTTTTGAAACAACTTCGTGTATACTGTCCGGCCGGACAAATGAGTTAGCAAAGTCTTTAATTCGACAGTGACTGTTTTTAGTAATTCGTAGTAAGAGACTTTGACTGGTTTTATCCACTTTAGAGCCTGGTAGAGCCAACAACAGAGAGAGAAAGAGAGAGAGAGAGAGAGAGAGTGTAGTTTTGTTTTTTTTTTTTTGAAGATTAATGTTACCAACAAATTGTTTCTGAAAATAATATTAATATTTTTTAAACATAGGTCTAAAAATGCCGACAAGATTCTTAAGCCTTGAAGTATTAAATGGGTTATTACGGGTTTTGAGACTTTGGTAAATAACGTATGGCGCTATATTCCGACCAAAACGAAGACATGAGCATTCGTAAATAACAGAGTTAACTGTGGAGGTGTTATAAATTTGTTGTTTTAGATTTAAAATAAGTCTAGGGGACCCGTTAAATTTTCGACGAATAAACAAATCCTTCTTTTTCTTTTGTACATGTACTTACTGACTATTTATGAAGTAATCCAGTTATAACACTCTGCAATATTGTCTGGTTCTTCTGCAGAAAACACCTTAGGCTATCGATTTTTTTTCTCACCTTTGGTGTAACGAAGCAATCTGCACACTCGACGTACTTCTATCGTCTCTCACAGAGCCTCGGATGTCATTTCCGAGTTCTTTCTTCGTGTGAGGTAGCTTGATTTTTTATTTGGAAACTTAAGTTGCTCACTTGACTTATCTATTTCCTATGCTGCGTGAAAATTTTCATGGAAAATATAAATATTTCCAAATAAAAACATGTCAGCCGAACAGTTCTGGTCTACATTTCGCGCAGAACGTATGAAAAATAAAACCCTGATGTCACCAACTTGGATCTATCAGCGAGATATTTAGTATGTATCTTCCGACCTATCTGGGAAGTTAAACCGTTTGTTCCAAAATTTGACACTAGTAAAAGCAGTTTGCTTAAAAATTGTCTGTATTTTTTTTTGTTCTATTCATATTAAACCTAAAACTTCAGCATTTACCTGAAGTGCTTATTATAAAGTTGCATTTGCAGTCAACAAAAAAATTTTTGTGAATTTCATTCAGCCTGTCTTTGTCTATTCCTTTCGAAATATACGATGCCCAAATTTTGGACAGTTGGGCCTATTTAATGCTTGTTTCACGCTTTGGTGAAGCAAGTAAAAATAAAAAATGTAGCAGCTACGTTTCTTGGTTTAAGGACCCAGGAATTTTGAAAAATATAATTGATCGTTGCAGTGGTATTGTAGTTGTGCCATACTGACCTTCGTTTTTCTAAATTTTTGCATCTATGCAGTCAAGAGCCAGTAATATCTGAATCATCTTAGGAACTACTTCTGTCTCCTTTCAGGAAATCTCACCTATTATGGAGGAACATCCGAATAGTGTCGTCGAAATTATCCGGGGAGATTTTCTCAAAACGGGTATGGCTCCATAATCCATTCCAACGATGGTGAATTTCATAAGTAAATCAACTTTGAATCAGTATTGAACTATATTAAAAAATGGTGGTTATATTGTAAAACACACAATCTGAATATCTACGCGGTAAATGTTGATAGATTTATACGTTGTCACTACGATAAATCATATTTACATAGGACACGGTCTATAAGGAATATTGAAAAATGTCTATTTTTCATAAAGCTCAAACTATCAGCCGATGGGTTAACAATTCTATGGAATAATTACATTACTCTAATAGTACGACACACTCTGCAACTTTGACCTATTTCAGACCGGGATAAGCATAGATATAATTAAGGAGGCTGCGGGGTTGGTTAGTTTGGCTATGGCACTTGCAAAATTGTATCACAGACCACTGTAGACCGACAATAAAACAAAAAATGTGTTTTGGTAGTCGAGCAAGTATTTAGTGTGCTTATTATTGACTGTTTTCTTGGTATATATATTGGTATATATTTATAAAATTACATAATTTATGAGATTTTAGTGGTTTTTATTCAGGAATTTATCTTCAAAACAAAAAGAAAGAACAAAAAGTATCTAATATAATGCCGGACGAATTTTCTAATTTTTATTACCTGTGAGCACTGTAGTACGGCTCCTGGTTGCACGGTTCTTTTTTCAACTATGATAATATCACAAAAAAATAGATAGTTTTTTTGCTAAACTGTGTAAGGAAACCTAGTCACTTTATATATGTTATTTTGATTCTATAATCTGTGTCACCAACACTTATAGAAAAATTAGATTTCATGTCATTTTATAAATTTTGTCTTATCCTTTCTCAAGCACAACGCATGTCAACTGTCTAGGTCTAGACCTAAATTTAGAAAATTGATCCATCGGCGCCCTCTTCTCGCGGATACACCGATTGCGTTGTGAACGACAAAGATTCCTAATTTAGCGCGTCATACTCAATGTAGGTCCTCAGTTTGTTAAAGCTGCCGTTCAACAGATGGCGCTGCTGTCAGTTGCGTTGGAGAGAAACCGATATACGCCTTTTCAAGAAAGAGGGGGAATTCATTTTCTTTAGAAAATAATTGTACTGCTTCCAAACGACAGGGGGCACAATAGGTATTGAACAGAATATTCTATACTATTTATTCATTCCCTATTATTTATTCGGTAATCTCGAAACCACTGAATTTATTGTGAACAGTCTAGGGTAAAAGATGAATGATGATTTTCGATCGCGAAATCGTACTAATTAATATATGCTCCTCTAAGAAGGATTCATTCATCATAGGATTCTCACTTAGACGCGGCTGCTCGGAATAATTCTATTGATGTACAGTCATTTAAGCTTTTCAGCCATGAAGTGGGCCTTCTCACGCTTCTCTCGCCCGTTTTTCGCGTACCCAGGTAAGCAAGTTTTCTTGTCTTTGCTCTTGTCTCCACTCTCTCTGTTGTTTTAACCATTCGCCTTAATATCTCTGCATTTGTTACCCTCTCTGTCCAAGAAACTCTAAGCATGCGTCTGTATATCCACATTTTAAAGGTCTGGAGTCTTTTTAAGTTGTCTTTGTTCATTGTCCAAGACCCCATTCCATAAAGAAGGATTAAAAAAATCTGGCCAATCTGAACTTAAGTTTGATGTTTAGATCTCTAGCGCAGAATACTTTTTGCATGTTGGTAAATGCAGCTCTAGCTTGTCCTATTCTGCATCTTATTTCTCGGAAGTGTCCTCCAGTAGAGTTTAACATGATACCAGGTATTACTCTTTCGACTTCCTCATTGCGAACATACAATCTTTCCCGGACATTTGCTTCGCTGAGGACTATGAATTTTGCCTTATTGGTATTAAGTGTAAGACCAGCTTCTTCGCTGCTATTGTTCACATTCGGATACTTAATTAAAATTCCGACAATATGTATTTTGTAGGTTCTTCATTTTATACATTCATATTCATCATGTGTAAGTATACCTAAATAATGGTCAGTGATGTTAAGGGTATCATTGAAAAATATTGAATTGAGGTGGCTTTTACTTGATGAAAATCCATTTATCAAAATAAATAAGAAGTAAAAGTTTAGATTTTCACGAAATTATATATTATGACATGACAATTGTTTCGACAACACCGTGTGTTTATCAAATGTAATATTTACAAACTACCTGCTACTATATATACCGAAAAATGACCATTAAAATCAACAATATTAATTAAGGTTTTATGGTCATTTTTCGGTATATATAGTAGCAGGTAGTTTGTGAATATTACATTTGATAAAGACACGGTGTTGTCGAAAACAATTGTCATGTCATAATATATAATTTCGTGAAAATCTGAACTTTTACTTCTTATTTATTTTCATTGAAAAATATATTGAGGTATACGAAGACGTCTACCTAACGTCACGTACACGAAATAAGCAGC